CATTTAAACCAGCCCTAAGGGATGAATGGCAATTGGCACAGAAACAGGAAGGCAGAAGACTAGTCCCAGTATGCAAGGCATCAAATTGGAGAATGCTAAAAGTACAGAATCACTTGTTTTCCATGGGTAGCGATAAGGCTAGAATCTGAAAGCATAGTGTGCTACTGGGGAAAGGTTATGGAAAGTGAGATGGTAAAGGCCTGTGTGGCCAGATCATTCAGGGCCTTTTGTAATGTAGCATGCCTCACCTTAATTCCTCTTCTCCACAGTTTTTACATATATGCACTAAGGTAATAATAATAACGTAAGAAAGGAGATGTATGCATAGTAGTGGGTGCAGAGCTGACACTGAATAAACATTTGTTAACTATTTCTCATAATGTTCATACAAGCTGTAATGCATCTTAATACCTATAAAGACTTTTATTGTTTTATTTTGTGTGAGATGTTTTTAACTAGATTTAATTTTTCCCTAGTTTAAGGACTGATGTTAAAGATATCTGTTAAAGATATCAGTTGCTTGGTGTATTACTATATTATATCTGAAGTTAGGAGAAATTTTGCCAAGAGGTTATCTATACATCTTGGAAATGATTATTTCTAGGTCCTCTACTTTCTCTCAGGAAAATATCTCATTCGCTAATACTGGCCCCAAATACATCCTTCCTCTTTTTCTATTACTTGGAGAATTTTAATGCCCTCTGTTTCAGGGGTTATTTTGTAGACCACTTTGAAATGTTTTCTACGGTTTTAAGGTAAAATGACATCATTTGGGGGGAAATGTTCCCTACTATCCTGGCCTCCTCTCCTCCCCTGCTCACCACCCCAGAGACAGCTTCTGTCTCTGTACTCCAACACGGCTTATCCTGAGTGAGTACGTCGGCCTGGGAGTGGCAGCACCGGGCTGGAACTCTCAGTGATGAATGTCAGCACAGCGGCTGCAGTCTTTCTGCCAGACAGGAGGCTAACAGGCAAACGGCAGGGAGTTCACAGGCTTGGAGGGGCTTGTTAGACAGAGTTCAAAATTCTCATGAGCATCTCTCTGCCACTCCACAGAACAGCTGCAGCCTCAACAGTGGGAGTCTTCACACTGATTTTTCAAAAAGCTCCCCCTCCAGAATTTAATGTCACATTACACTGTTAAATGCCCTGCATCACAGTATATTGTTATCCATCATACGCTCCACTCACCATTTGCTTCAAAGTTGCTAATTTGGCCGGAGAACATTCCACTTATCAGAATGTGTTTTCTCTTATTCTCTCCTCTTCTGAGAATTTGTCGACTTTTTGCTTGTAGAACTTTTCTGTATGACTCAAATACAGTCCTTGCTTTATACCAATGTAGTTCTTAGCTACTTTAAATCATTTTATAATAAGTAGTAAGTGATTTCTTGGGGGGGAAAGAGTCTAAGAATTTAGGTTAGACAGGAGTGATCTACTTATAAAAATAGTCCATCTGCTGAATAAGGTGAAAATATGTGCATTCATTTAACGGTGAAGTTTTGAGGACCTACTGTGTGTCTGTTCTGGGCACTGGAGCTGAAACAGTCACAAGACAAAGTCCCTGCCCTTATATAGCTTGCACTCTACTAGAGAAGCAAACCAGGACTCTATAAAAAAAATAAAACATACGATATAATTTCAGGTAGTGGTAATTGCTATGAATTAAAATGAAAGAAGGATAAGTAAGCCCTGATGGAGGCAGCTATTTCTAATAGGGCAGCCAGGGAGAGGCCCTCCAAGGAGGTAATGCTTGAAATGAGATCTAAAGGCATGGATGTGCCAGGAGCACATACAAATTTGGGATTTGGGAGGAGTAACATAAAAATTGTATGTATAACAGTGGGTGCAGAGCTGATGCTAAATAAACATTTGTTGACTATTTCTTATAATGTTCATGCTATTCTATATGCTGGTGAGTAGTATTCTAGGTATAATGACAGCAAAAAGAAGGAGTCGTGTAAGTTGGATTCTCTGGGAAACAGATGGAGAAACAAATTAGTGTGCAAAACTTTTATTAATGAGTACTCTCAAGATCACTTCCTGTAGAAGAGAAGAGAAGGAGGCAGGTTTGGGCAGAGGGAGAAGTGGATCCACAATGAAGCCTCAGCTGGAGTTCAGATGGCCTTGCAAGGAGCTCTTAAAGATGTAATGATCCTTCAGCGCTCTTGTGCTTTAGGGCAAAAGGTTCAGGACTTTATCTAGCCATGTGGATCAGTCATTCTATGTGGGCTCTCTCAAGAAGGGCTGTGACTCTGTTGGGCACGGTAGTTCTCTTCAGCCTGGGCAAGTCAGTAGGTGGGCTGACAACTGAGGCAGCTTGACCAGTAGCACTCCCAGCATCTGGGTGCTAGAAGATACTTCTCCATGGATCTCTCACATTTATTTACAAGCAGAGGGACTTCATTCCTGTAACAAGTCCTTCTGGGTCTGAGCAATGCAACACAAATCCCACCCTAAGGAGTAAGCAATTAAATAACACTTTGGGCAAACTCCTGGATTCCTTTGGATCAGACATTCGGATTCTATGGATATCAATTGATTCTATGTAATTAATCTCTTCATTTTCTTGGTTTAATAATATGGAGATCTTGATCTACCAGATGTGAACAACTGTGTGCTTTATTCATTCAATTAAGCAACTATTTTCTTTTTTGAGATACTTGAATAAGTGTTTTCAAAGAGCTCAAAAACTACTGGAAGAAGCAAATATAAAGAAAACTCACTATAATCTACAATGCAACATCAAGTGAACTAAGGGGTAAACAAAAGAGTATTTTGAAATATAAAGCAAAAAATGTATTTTAGAATGAAAGGTAGTGTAATCAAATAGAGGGAATGTTGACATGCAGAGGGCACTCTTAAAGCAGAATTTTGATACATGGGAGTGAGAGGTAGTCTTTCAAGTTGGAGTCAAACAGGTGAGCTGACCTGTAAGCATGGAATGTGAAGGTGAATAGGATAGGTGGCTGGGGAGGGAGATTGTGGAGGGATGTGGTAAAAGGTGAGATGGAAAAGATAATTCATACTTAGAATGTGGCAGACCTTGAAAGTACTACTAAAAACACTGGACTTGATTCTCTAGGTTAGTATCTCAAAATGTGGCTCCAGGGGTTCTTGCATTGGGACTTCATGGATGCTTCTTAAAAATTCAGACTCTCACCCCTCTATCCCATTTTTTTCTGAATCAAGGTCTCTGAGAATAGGCCCCTGAAATCTATAGTTTTTACAAGCTCCAATGATGGCGGATCTGTACCCTAGTCAATGGGGAATCACAGAAAACTCAGTTATTTGCTTCAATAACTCTATAGGATTTGTGTGAGAAAAATTTTCACCCTTAAAGTATTAAAGTGGACCGTTCCAGGAATTATGACCTCAAAGTATTGCATTTGAAACAATAAATTAGTAATTTTAAATAATCATACTCCATTTGCCCATTTTAATTAATGCAAAACACCCAGAAAACTTTCTCCTCTTGCCAAAAAAAAAAAGAAAGAAAAGAAAACCACTTTTATAAGATGCTCATAGATTGCTTTCAGTCCTGTAATTGCTATTCTCTATTTCTTAGTGGGAAATTTTCGTTTCTTTTGATCATAAGAATCATTTTACACTGGAACTCAAGAAGCTTCTTCGGGGCCCTTGGAGACTGTTTTCTAAATTGCAGTTATAGCAGGGAGTTTATTCTTTTTTGTTTATGATCTGTAAATACCCTCCCAAATCTCTGATAGGTTTCAGGTCCCTTAGCAGCCTGTCTAATCTTTTATTTTCCACTTATATGTCAACCCAATAATTTAAGAATTTTCCAAGAAACTTTTATCCCTTGCTTCAACCACAAGCACTTGTTTTTTTACCTCCTTCATTTTAGAAATCCCTTGTTAACATTTTGTTTTCTCTTGGTCTTCTTTTCCTTAGGAGCTTGTGTCCGGGCCATGCACACTAATGGTAAAGTGATGTGTTGTATAAAGTATATCACATTTCTCAGCTTTCTCATTTATTAGTAGTAGAATTATCACAGTAGTAATGCAAATAGTGTGAATAATAGTGTTTCCCTTTCCTCATTTTTTCCTCCTTTAATTTGTATCTGACGATTTTTACATCTATTTTCATATATTATTTTCACAGATTTCCTCTGCAGTATGAGAGGAAATTAATGCTCTCCTTTTCCAAAAAGTCAAACAGGGATGCGTGTTAAGATTAAGAAACTTCCCCCAAACTATTCAGTGAGGCATTGGGTGAAAGGGGGAGGAATTAGGGAGAAGTCACTCCTTTTCTGGCTATGAAAGTATGGCACGTCTACAATTAATAAGTGAGTATTTCTAGCCTTGCCCCTGACTTCCAAAGAAGGTCCCACCTTTATCAGATCCAAGATGTTTAAAAACATTTAAAAGTAAAACAAAAGTTTTTAAAGAAATAAACAGAAAGGAAATCAGAGGAAGGGTTAAAAGATTAAGAATGTGGATATAGAATATGAGAGAAATTGGATGATTTTTTTTAAAGTTAGAATAAAGAAGTAATGGGTCCTGTACACTGTGAGAGATATAGATGGAGGGAAATTAATGGTAATTTTAAAATGTGGTGTGCTATATTTCTCTGTTGTATGCTAAAATTCAATGAAAACATTCAGAAAACAACTGATTGCTGGTGTTGGATGTGTGTGATTATGATTCTGCTCTGAATCTGGGCTATGTGGATCTCGGGATTCAAAGTTGTTAAAAAGTGAAACTTAAAAGGCAATTCTAAGCCAATAGGCCTTGTGTGTTAGGAAAAGAGAGACAAGTGTCTGCAACAGTGTCCCCAGAAGAGGGAGATAATTGTTTTATCCCTGAGGCATGAGGAATGAGTCTTCCTAGGGGTGGTTGTTTTAGTATAGACTCAGACTAGAGTGCATAAGCTGGGGTCACCCGGGCAAGCCAGTTGTGCTGGAGGTAGTGAGAGTGAGGCCACATGACCAGAGGTAGAGGGTGTAGTCATTAACAGTATTAACAGTAGCAGTGTGGATTGTCTGCTTGAGATATGAGGCTTTCCTGGGCAGAGAGGAGTAAGGAAGTACTGCAGCAGGTTAATGGGAGGTGGGCAGGTAAGAATATTGTTGAAGAGTTAGCTAAAGACTCTTGCCACTGTAGGTATTACGCATGAGCCCTCAAATGTACTTTTCAGGCATCACCTGTGATACATATAAGGATTGAAGCTGCCCAATAAAACAAACTTCTGTGATTCTCGGCATCTTTCTGCTAGCCTTATGTCTCTGTTCCACTTGATGGTCAAATATCTAGGAGCATTCTCTATGGATGACGACTCCTCTCTCCCTCTTGATTCTGCTCTCCCTCACCACCTATAGCCAAACCCAACAGTAAGTGCTGATGATTTTGTCATTAGACTCCATGCACAATATATTCACTACTGCTGCCACCACAGTTCCCTGTGACACGGACTGCTGCAGAGCATGCGATTGCTCTTCTGGTGGACAATGTAAGTACCCATTTAATGTGGTTGCTAGGAGAAAAAGAATAATGGCTGGAGAACGTGAGTGCCAGCTCCCTTGAGAGTTGTGTTTGTTATTGCAAAAGCATGAAAATGTGATTCTCGTCTTATATGTCAGTTTTGCAAACTTGGTTAATGTGAATCTATTCTTCAGAGATCTATCCATTGCTAGTATACTAGAAAAATATATATACATGTATTTCTAAGCCTCACAGACTTAGGGTGAGGCCCTGGTCTGGGTGATCTCAGTAAGACATTATCAAAGGAAATTGGCTAGTTAGTCTGCACCAGGGCAAGGTCTCTTGGCTCCCTCTTGTAAGTCTGTAGTTACAACTGTGATTTCTTCCTCTTTTTGACTTATTTGACTGGGTAACTTTGCATGATAGGTGTTTAAATTACTTGATTGCATCTCTGTTTACTTCAAAGATATCCTGCAAATTACTTCTTTCTTTTCAAAGATAATTGGTTAAATTTCAATAATAACAAGCTACTATTAGACTGGATTCTGTGAAATATTTAACAGTTTTGAATATTGCCCATTTCTGATTTAGTGATGCTAACAATGGACTCACTTGCAGTGAAAGCTACATCTTTATCTGAACTTAATATTCCTTGATATTGTAAAGGAACCAATTGTTTGTAGTAAATATTATTTTCATCAAGTCTCAAAATTTTTAAATCAATATGAGGGTGTTCATCAACCATTATCACAATCCCATTATCCTTATTTTACTTCATTGTATTTTCTTCTTCCCCCCCCCCCTTTAAATAGCTTGCCTTTCCTAATCTAGGTGCTTTATAAAACATGTTAAAATTTTCTTAAAACCACTCTGATTTTATTTAGTCATTACATTTGGAAAATATTTTAATGCTTGTTCTATCCAGTTAGAAAATGCTGCTTATCTTAAAATATAAAATCATATGTATGGCTTTCTTAGATTTCCTTTTAAATGGTTCCTGTAGTATTCTCCAACAGAATGAAAATTAAAAACTTGGTGATTTTCCCTATTTTAGTTTTAACTATTTTACTAGTTGTTCATATACAATGTAAAGTATACAGTGAATCCTCACTTAACATCATTGATAGGTTCTTGTAAACTGCAACTGTAAACAAAATGATGTATAATAAAACCAGTTTTTCCATAGGCTAATTCATATAAATAAGAGTTAATTTCCTATGGCATGTTTCTGGTCACAAAGGCATCACTAAACCTCTAAAGACCCCAAATACTTCTAATATTAAATATTGAAATACATGTGAGCTATGCATACATCAAAGAAAGACTAATTAAAAAAGTAAGAGGATGATTTTCCCACCTGCTTGTTCTACTTCAGGGTAGTGAGTGGCTGGCTGCAGCCTATCCTGGCCGCTCAGGGTGCCAGCAGGACCCATCCTGGGCAGGACAGCCTTCCATCTCAGGCGGCACTCACACCCCCACATTCACTCCGACTGGGAAAATGTAGATATGCCAATTCACCTAACTGCACATCTTTGGGGTGTGGGAGGAGACCGAGTACCCAGAGAAAATCCACACAGACATGGGGAAAAGGTGTGTACTCCACACAGACAGTGGCCCTATTCCAGAATTGATGTTTTTTTTCCCTCATTGATGTTATAAAGAAACAATATTGAATGAAAGGACATTCTCTGAGGACCTGCTGTATAACTAAATGTTTCTTATCTCAATTGTTTTAGAATATTGGTTTATTCAGGAGTTTGATAAAATAGTTAAACTACATAACTCATTGAATTAATTATATATATATATATATATATATATATATATATATATATATATATATTCTTATGTATCTTACATAAGATGGAGTAAAATTGCTTCCTAACAGAGCCATGTAATTAAAGAAATCTAGCTTAAGGGTGACTTTTGAGCATGAGCAATCGTTAACTTTTGAATTTCTTTACCTTTGAAATAGTTTAGAAAAATTAATTAGCTCGATAACGCCAACCATTTAAAATGAGTAAATTTAATATTACCTTGTCTATTTACTTATGGAAATTTTCTATGTATAAATGCTATTATTCTATCACATTGTATATTTTTGAAATAATACAATAGTATTTTGATGTATTCGACACACTAACTCTAAGGAACTATTTTATATTGTCTTAATAATTCTTTTAACATTGCTATGAAGTATAGGATAAAATGAGTGGCATTTATTGTCATCTTCATTTTATAGTTAAAGTATCCAATGAAAAAGGTGACTTAGTTTTTCCCAAACTAAAAAAAAAAAAAATCAAACTTGTTGTATAACAAGGAAAGATAATATTGGGCTTCAGCTTTCCAAATCTTCAACCAGTATATAAATAAGCTACAGCTTTATTAAAGTCACTAAAGTTTTGTACAAGTGTGCAAATACAAATATATTTTTATATCATACACACACACACACACATATATTCCATTCCATTTCATTTTATTTCAAAAATAATTTTCAGGAAACTTAATCATTGTTATGAAATATGTACACTCTCTGTCTTTCTCTGCCATCTATCTCCATGTGTGTCTATTAATGTATCTCTCTAATTTACCATTTTAAGTTCTTAAAAACTGTACTTAAAATCAGTGAAGAGTCACTAAATGTAAAAAAGGTTTATTAATTTTAATGGGAAATTATTATGCATTCTACCTGGACAAAATTACCAAATATTTTTTATTGATATAAATATATATTTAGTTTAAATTTTAAAAGAAGAAAATGAAAATGACATGATGTAAGCAGTGATTTAGAAAGACTTACTTGGCAGCTGGGTATATGATGGATTGGAAGGGGAAGACTGAAGGCATATTAGGCAGTTTGGGTTGTTAGAAATGGACCGACCACACAAGCTGTAAAAAGGTCCTAACAGCAGAGTGGTGATGGTGCTTTTCAATTAATGTTCCATCAGTCATGCAGACTTTGACAATTTACATGGGAGGAAAGCAGATTATCTAATTGAGTGCTCTGCTCAAGATTAGAGGCTTTCAGACTTTTTTTACAGAAGTCATATTAATAAATATATTTTATGTCATGACTCTGTGCACATGCATGCGGACATGTGCATGCACAATTGAAATAAAAATTCACAAACATAACGTTGTCTTGTCATACACAATGCTATTCTATTCTGTTTTTTTATTTCAGTTAAAAAATACCAATCACAACCTTTCACATGATTTATAGCCTACCAAGGAGTCATATTCCACAGTTTGAAAAACACTACCCTAGTCCAAACAATTTGAGTGTCTCACTAAGTCACATATACCTGAGATCATGCAATTCACTGTATACCTATCTAACCATCTACCAAGAGTTTAACACTAAGACTTAAAGCAACTAATTTAAAACCTGGAGAAATCATGACTTAAGAAACGTATCTCTTTCAAATGCTATCATTTGAAAAGGTACCTACCTGAGATCAGACTACTTCAATAACCTCAGATATATCACTCTGCCAGCAAACATGACACTGCCAGAGTAATCTGCCTAGGCCTTCCATGGTTCTCTACTGCCTAGTGGAAAACATAAAACACCACCTCCCCACAAAAAACCATATATATATAAACAAAAACGGAATATGGCAAAGGTTAATTATACTTGTTATTTTTGTCCTTTCTATGCTATTTTCATCACAAATATTTCAACTTTTGGAAGCTAGTAGTTATATATTTCCAAATAAAATTGTATCACAGAAAAACACTTTTAGGTAAAACTAAAGACTCTGCATGAGAAGGCTTTTAAACACTAAAATTGCTCATACACATCAGCTAAAATAACCATAAAAAATACACTAAAAGACACAATTTGAGTTCATCCAAACATGCTATGCTATTCAAATTTATTTCCTTTTTAATAGAAACTATTGTTTCAGGTAAATTGGTGAAAGTGTCTTTGCCTGAACTCAAAATGTCAAACTGTCATTTCTTATACCATGTTTATTTCATATTGTGTGTGTATGTGTGTTTGAAAAGTCATAATAATCCCCCAATTGAGTAGTTTGAAAACTAGCATAACTTTTCAAGAGACATTATATTGAAAAGTTATCACTTGAATGGTCATTATGTGAGATAACTCAATATTTCTCATGTTCAGGTCAGTAAATCACATCACTCTGAAGAACTCAGAAATAAAATTTTTCTTAATTACTCAAAGTGGGACTTAGGAAAAGAAAAAAATAGTATTTCATGCATGAATCCTGGCTGTACTGTTTAGAAAAAGCAGGGAGGGACTAACATGCAAAATGTTCAATATATAAGGAGAAAGTGACTTATCTAGTATGGTCCTAGTTGGAAAGATATACCATTTAATACAGTTTGATACTGAGTGTTCATTTATGCTGCTATGTTATTGAAAGTCATTCTGGGCTAACAATAATCAGCTTTGAGTGACCCACAGTTTCCAGGGTTAGAAAGTGATGTTCTCAGTAAACAGATGTTTCCTGTAAATTTATAAAAGAGAATATGACCCAGGGCATAAATCCAATCATTTTTCAATGGAAGCTGTGACTCTCCATGAAAAGGGAGCTTCCAGTGTTCCTTAGCAAGTGTGGTCAGGCATTAATGCAAGGGAGTTAATAGAAGTTACTCAGTAATA